ATTTCTCCAGGCCTGAAATTTTTTAAAAATATATTCATTTTACTTTATTCTAAAAAATTAACAAAAAACAAGGGGAAAAAAAATTAGTCTATAATCCCATCATTTAATCACATCAACGTTTCCATTTAACCCAGTCACCTTTGGTCCCTGGTTCAGAACTCAACAGTCACTTTTGGTCCCTGTGCATATGGAGAAGTACATCATGGGTTGATAAAAATTAGATCATGTGTGAGTAATTCACGCGGGGAAATGATTATCCCTTAATTAAAAAATCACCTCACTTTTAAAGAGAGCTAAAGAGTCATCATCATGGGAACAGAAGTGCAATCAATAACAAATCTAGCAGATATATGCAGATTGGGACCTCATGATGAGTGTTTTCATGTTGGCACATTATAATTTTAAGCACTGACAGCTATAGTCTCCACTTTTCTTTTATATATTACAGAAGGCATGTGGAAAATAGTTGAAACTCTCTCTGAATCCATGTGTATATTTTATCGCACTTACTGTATTATTTATTGACTGAATTTATTGGGGTGACGTTGGTTAATAAGAGAATACAGGTTTCAGGCATACAATTCTGTAACACATCATTCACCACCCCAAGTTGTGTTTCCTTCTACCACCACTTATGTGCCCTATAACCTCTTCTACCTCCCCACACTCAATATTCTTTCTTTATATCCTTACTCTATAAACTATTTTCTATTTTTTTAAAAATTATTTTTAACTTTAAACTTTTTGTTAAAGATTTAAAACACACACACACACACACACACACACACACACACACATTAGCCTACGCCTACAAAGGTCAGGGTCATCAATCTCCCGGTCTTCCTCCTCCACAGCTTGTCCCACTGGGAGATCTTCAGGGCCATGACTCCGGGATGGGAACAATGCTTCATTCTGGAACACCTCCTGAAGGACCTGCCTGCGGCTCTTCTTGAGGAGGTGTCACTCTTCAGACTATGTCCATGGTGGTTTGTGTTTTTCATCACAGATAATGCACCACGAACATTCCTCTCTATTAACAAAAACCTTTCGGTGTTGGAGTACATGTTTTCAAATTTTTTAAGGAGCTTATTGAAATCTACAAAAGCTTCTGCTAAACCCTTCCCTAAGTTTTCCTTTTTTTATTTTCAGAATAGTTTACTGATTTTTAAAAACATGTATTTTATTGATTTTTTTTACAGAGAGGAAGGGAGAGGGATAGAGTTAGAAACTTCAATGAGAGAAAAACATCAATCAGCTGCCTCCGGAATCGAACCTGGGACCCTTGAGTCCGCAGGCTGACGCTCTATCCACTGAGCCAAACCGGGTAGGGCAGTTTACTGATTTTAAGAAAGAGAATCATTGATTGGCTGCCTCCTGCATGGTCCTACCAGGAATGGAGCCCACAATCCAGGCATGTGCCCTGACCGGTAACTGAACCAGAAGCCTCACGGTGGGTGGGATGGTACACAGGTCAACGCCCAACCAACTGAGCCACAGCAGCCAGGGCTTCACTACATTTTCTTGGAGGTTCTTCTTTTCCTTCTGCAGTTTCCTTTCCCGTGCCTCTTCTTCGGCCATGCATTTCTGTTCTAACAACTCCTCATTAGTCAATTCCTCAGGAACCTCTCTAGAAGCTCCTCAACTTCATCCTCATCACACATCTTCCCCTGTTTGCCATCTCAACCACAGCATCGCTGATTTCTGCAACCTACTCATCCTCGGCAAATTCTTTGAAGTCAAAAATGAACCTCTTGCCGGGACCGGTTTGGCTCAGTGGATAGAGCGTCGGCTTGGGGACTGAGGGGCCCCGGGTTCGATTCCGGTCAAGGGCATGTACCTTGGTTGCGGGCACATCCCCGGTGGGGGGGGGGGGGCGTGCAGGAGGCAGCTGATCGATGACTCTCTCTCATTGATGTTTCGAACTCTCTATCTCTCTCCCTTCCACTCTGTACAAAAATCAATAAAATATATATTTTTTTTAAAATGAATTCTTGAGTGTCTTCTTCCAGATGCCATTTATACACTGCTTGGTGAAATCACCTCAAGCCCAAGCAAGGTTCCTGATACAGTCATAAGACGTTGCAATCCTTCCTTCCAAAACTGCAGCAGGATCTTCCTAGGTTGCAGCCATAACCTGGGCAGAGGTCCTCCTCAGGCAGCAGGCCTTAAAAGCTGCTATAACTCATCCCTCCATCGGGTCTGAGGTGGAAGCAACACCACTTTGATGCTGTATCAACACGGGAGCTGCCCCCTGGTGGTCAGTGCACTCCCACAGCCAACCTCCGGCAGCCGACCAACCGCCCGCAGTCCCTCCCCCAGCCGACCAGCCCCCACTGGCCCGTCCCCATCGTCCGTCCCCTTGTGCCAAACCATTAATAGATGACCTGCTTCTGAGTCGGGGTTTTATACATAGCAGAGCAGCTCCCTATGTGTCAGCCCTTGACACAAGGTTTGTCTTGCTCCCATCCTCTCCCTTCCCCAGGGGCTGCCCACCCGCCATGGTGGTAGTGCGGCAGCAAGGGTGTGGGGAGGGGAGGCAGGGAACCACATGGGGCACTGATGGCAGTTTCCGTTCCTTCCACACCAGCGCCGGGGCTTTGGGCCCCAGGCTGGGAAGCAGAGGATGGGGCCCCTTTCCCAGGGAGGCCAAGGGCCAGCTCCCTCCTTGGGGCCCTCGGCCAACCTCCCATGGTCCCTCCCTCCCACAGTCCTTTCCTCGGCTAGCCAACCTCCCAGTTCCTACCCTGATTGGCCCTGATCTTCGACCAGGCCTAGGGACCCCCACCTGTGCACAAATTCGTGCACCGGGCCTCTAGTAATATAATAAATACATTAGTAACATAGTCATTTATTATCAATTATTATATACTGTACATAATTGTATGTGCTTGCTTTTATACAACCAGCAGAGCAGGGTTTTTTACACCAGCATCATCACAAACACGTGAGTAATGTATTACACTATGTTACCATGACTACAATATCACTAGGAGATAGAAAATTTTCAGCTCCATTGTAGTCTTATGGGACCGCTTGTATATGTGATCTGTTATTGACTGAAATGTTATGCGGCACATGGCTGAATTTATGTTATCATTCTAATCTCAAATATATTTCTACATATCCGCCAATCACTGATAAATATGCACTGAGAGATATTTGGGAATGATGCCCACTAACTGATGATGTTTATTTCTGGGCTGTACAAACTTTAGACTATTTTTTCCTTCTTTGTACCTTTTTTCTATATTGCTTAGATTTATAGGATGTGTCATATTTTATTAAACTAGACATTTTTCTTAAAAAATTGAATACACATATAAAGATAGAGCCACAGATATATTTAAGGAAACATTGGTAAAGATTTTTCAATGGTAAAATACTATATACAATTTAGATGCTAATTTAGTTATGGTAAATTCATACAGTTGCATACTTAGTAACATAACATAGAAGTATACCTAGGGACGTGTAAAAATAATGATCACTATCAAGTTAAAAAAAGGGTATTATAAAATCACAGTGGTTATGAATTATTTTAAAAAGAAAATATAGATTCATTAAGTATTTATGTTCATAGAAAAAAAACTGGAAGGATAGACAACATAGTTATTTCTAGGCAGGGATTACAGTTATTTTTCTTTATGTTTATGTGGGTCTTGTAACATGTATATACTAGAGGCCCAGTGCACAAAATTCATGCACAGGTAGGTTCTCTAGAGCTGACAGGGCCCATCAGGGCCGATCAGGGCCTTCCAGCTGGTGGCCAGAGCCTTCCTTCCCTAACTGCTGGCTGCCAGCCAGGTCCTTCCTTCATTCCATGCTGCCCCCTGGTGGTCAGCCCAGGTCATAGCATACGATCGAATACCCTGTCTCCTGGTTGAACTCCCGAGGGGACACTTTGCATATTAGCCTTTTATATATACATAGATTACTTGTATTGTAAAAGTTGTTTTGCAAAACATACTGACAAGAACACAAAATTCTATCAGGGTGAAGATCAACTACATGATATATGGATTTTTTTTAATGTAAGAATAACCACAAAGAAAACACAAATATAATGTATAACTTCCAAATCAGTAGAAGAAAGAGAATTAAAAATCTCAATCAATCCAAGGCAGCAAAAGAGAAAATGGTAAAGCAAAGACACAAAACTTTGGGGGGAAAAGACCAATAATAAATTAAGCAGAATAAACTAATTAAGTAAACTCACTATATGCTATTTATAAACACATCCAAAATTAATAACACAAGGTTGAAAGACTAAAGATATATAGAACACATATAAATTAAAAACATTATTTGGAAATGACAGCTAATAATGTAACATGCATTATATACCCTTATTAAGGTGGGAATGCTGGCCATATTTACTCCATGTGTTTTGGTTGTGTTTTGTAATGAAAAACTAAAAACATGAGAAAATAAATGTAAAGCCATTCCCCAATAAAAATGCCTTATTTTATCAATGGTTACCCATGAGTAAATAACAGCTCTGTTCATCCCTGTGTCTCTAGAATGTAGCACCTGTAGCTACTCCACATTCTCTATATTGGCTGGATAAAGTTTTTACTATGAAAGACTCAAGAATGCAAAAACTGGGCTGGATTACATATTATATCTTTTTTTTTTTTTTTTTTGCTCTGATAAGTGGCCTCTTTTTATTGAGATACTTTGAGAGAAAATCCTAAAAATAGTGCTTCTGAACAGATAAGAAACAGACATTTAGTGAATATGGCGGGTTAGAAGAATAGTGTTAAACCCATCGCTGCTTTCTGCTTTAATCCCCTGCTCTGAAGTTCCCATCGCTTCCATATTTCTCTCCCTCTGGTGCCAGGAGTTAGTCACCTGAGTAGAGAATTCAATAGCTATACATTCTTAGCTGAAAGCTCATCATTGCCCTTTGGATTCCGAATTGAATTCTGGCATCCAATGAACTGCTCAAAAATTAGCCCCCATTCTACAACACAATAAGACAGAAAAAACACACTACCTACCTTCCATCCTTCAGCGTGTTCACAATAAATCGGTTAATCTGGCAAATGCAATTGCTAGACAATTGCTCTTCTTCAACAAGAGTGTTCAACTGTGTTGCCAACATAAAAGCTGAAAAGCAGAGATTACTTTAGTCTCCAAAACATGTTAGCCATGGCAATCTGAAAGCTGATCACACCTGTGCTAGCAAAGAAAAATGCCTTAAGTATGTTCCTGAAATTAAAACTCGTCAGACAGACTCTGCATAGTGAAAAGCAGTAGAATTTGCAGTGCATCAAACAGCTGCTGCTACTCTGAAATGTATGCCTTTCTTAAAGTGCCTCAAGTCACTTTTCCCCCATCATTCAGGTTTCATGACAAAAATCTTTCCTAGGTCCTTCACATGTGACTGGAGATAGCAAGCATATATTCTGCAAATTCTCTCCTCTTCTCCCAGGTAAAGCTTCCAACACAGAAATAAAGCCCCATAAAGGCAAGTATAGGATAGCTAACCCATCATATTCACTAACTGTCAATATCATCCTGAGGGAAATTAATCAAAGAAAGCATAGCACACCAGTTAGAGAGAATTAATTAAGCCAAGTGGCAGCTTTCCACTAGATCCAGTCTATTGTTAGAACGCTCTCTGCCAGGTGCAATTCTGTCTGAATAAATTACACAGCCAAGCAAATGCAGGCTTCTAGAATGCCCCAAATTATTGCAATCGTAATGCTGGGTACGCTTTCATTATTTTAATACAAATCCGAGATTTATACATCATACTTACAGGAGAGAGTGTTCAACCCATCACTCATAAGCAGTCGATAGCGGGGCGGACTATTCCCTGTGGTAATGGGACGGATGCTCTAGAAGAGAAAACTCGGTTCATTAGCCAGGTTGTCTGCCCAGTCCCCTGGGATAAGTAAACCTTGGTGGCAGGAGAGTGGGCTTGCCGTTAGATCAACACAAACTGAACTGCTTGCTCATGCACTCAACACTGAAATCCAAGCAAAAGACAACCAGCCTTGATGATTGGCCCACCAACCTCTTCCCACTAATATTATGAAACAAACATAAATGAGAATAAAATGTTGCCAATACTCTTGTGTTCTCTTCCCTAACTCCAATTTGTTGAAAGCCAACTCTAAATATATAAATATATATGTGTGTGTGTGTATATATATATTTTTTATATATTATATACACACACACACACACACACACACAAAACAAAGTACCTAATATATGCAAGGTACTGTGTAGGAAACATGCTAAAAATACAAAATGAAAATAAATTCGTACTCTGAAGGAGCTTACAATGAGGGTAGGGATGGAGACCGAGAGACATAAGAGAAGTGTGCACTTAACAATATGGGGCAGAACTGAGACATTAATTCCAACTGGAAGGAAATCAGAGGCAGCTTTAAGTGAAATATGTAAACAGAGCCTTACAATCAAATAAGCCTTGAGACAACTGGCAGCTAGTTTGAGAGTAACAGGGAGACCGCCAAGGTTAACAGATAGAACCTGCAGGTATAATCCATGATTCTGCTTCTACTGATTTTTAAAATTCCCACTAAAACTTGAGAACCTCTTAAATGATAGGGTTAACAAAGAATGTTTTTGTTTGTTTTGTTAACTCTCACCTGAGGATATTATTTGCATTGATTTTTAGAGAGTATAGGGAAAAGGAGAGACAGAGCGAGAGAGACATGGATTGGTTGCCTCCTGCAAGTGCTCAAAACGGGGCTGAGAATCCAGCCTTCAATCGAGATTGTGCCCTTGACCTGAATCGAACCTGCGGCCCTTCTGCTGAGCCAAACCCGCTAGGGCTAATGAAGAATTTTAAGCAGACAAGTTCACTTTACAGAGAGGCCATTTGTAAGGCAGATGTGAGCAAGACAAACCTAAGGGCAGAAAGATAAGGAGGAGGCCTTGTAATAATGTGTAGCACTACAGCATCCTTTCATTGTGGAAAGAACAGAGGGGCAAAAACTCAGATTTGAATCTCCAAAGGTCTCCCTCTGGCTAAACGAATATATACACCTTTAAAAGCCTGGTTCCTTTCTCATGAACTGGCCTATTTTGTGTGATGATGGTGAGAATTTCCTAAAGTAAACAAATCTTTATATCCTTGTCAAATGTAATTTACAGTTACATGTGAATTTAAAAACTGCTTGACATAAAATATATGTAGTTACTTACAATGACTTGGAGGATGGGTTTTATGGATGTCTCTCCCTGCTGCATTATGGCCTAAAAGAGTAAAAACAGATTTTTGTGAGATATGAGCTCAAGTCATGATTAAAACTGGACATATTTTTACAGCTTGGCATTTGTTATAAACTATACATAACACTGTCAAAAGAGCCTTTTGGGGGGCTTATCATTTGAAAAGCTAGGTTAACTTTTATCACTCTGGACAAATGATAAAATCATAAAAGTGAGATACATCTGGGCCCTGAGCAGCCAGGCCCGGAACAGCTCGCTCCTCACCTGCCCCTGCCCCACGGCTGCCTCTCAGACATGGCTGGAAACTTTTGCAGGAACTTGAGGGTCTGCTGAATCAAGTGATGAAGGCTTAGATCTGGATGTGTTGAGTTAGTATAGGGCTGGGGTGTTGATCTGTGAGTGCCTTGGGTGGGGCCTGGATGAGGCTAGTTGACCTATTTGGAAATGTCTTTTGTGTGAAGTGTATCATTGGGCATGAGGAGGTATTATTGATATGAGAAAATGCTAAGTAACTGATTTACTATCTGAAAAGGGATTTACTATCGGGGAAAGGGAGGGAGGAAGAGACTGAACATAAACTGTGCACCTATGGATGAGGACAATGAGGGATGGGGAGAGGGCGGAGGGTGGGGTGGGAACCTGGTGGAGGGGGGAAGAAATGAGGAACCTTTGTAATAATATGAATAAAGATTGATTTTAAAAAAATTAAAAAAAGTGAGATACATGCTTACCAACAAGGATATACTCCACTACATCTAAAATATTGGCATCGCATAACAACACATTAATTCTCTATAGTGCCCATTACTAGGGAATTAAATAAGTATGCTAAAATCTTAAAACAGAGTATTATAAACAGAGTTCAGATCAGAGTTCAGGGAGGTGAGTTAGCTGGACTTCGTGGATAAGGAATACCGAAGGGAGGAGCTACACAGAGAAGCTCTCATAACCACCGGGGTTCCCTTGAGTCTTTGGCTGAATTGTAATTATGCATATCATTACTGGAGCCCACAAAGGCTAGCATACATTTGTGTTCCAGAGTGGAAAGAACTCAATGATCATGGTGCATTCAGTAGACACCTGAGAAAGGCCATGATTTAGAAATAGGACTAAACTAGGTCCAGAGTAAAATCTACTCTAGACCCATCCCATCTCAAAAGGATCAGATGATCTGCAAGTAAATTAACAGCCTGTTAGACAACTCAATATTATTTAAAGAAATATACACAATCCAGTCACTAAATAATGTAATAGTCATAAGGTCTAGTATCTAGTCAAAAATTACTAGACATTCTTTTATTGAATAGCATCCGCCACAGCTCAAGAAGCAAAATGTGGTCCTATAAAAAAAAAAAATGTGGTCTAATAACATTAAATATTGTTACAGTTGCTTTAAGGTCATGCTGAACCTGCTGCATTTGTATCTCTCCACGTCTGTATTTCATTACAAATTTCTACTTATTTTGCTTTTGAAGAACAGGATATGAATAGATGAACGACCTTTGGAAATCAATGGTTCTGGAAAATTACCGGTCGCTTGCATAACCTTGGCTGCAGCTTTCCAAGGAATGTGCTCTGGGTGAAGTTATCATCTGGGTTAATGGCTGAAATGGCAAGGTATTTTGCAGCATGTGAGCAATGCTAGAGACCTGGGAGCTCTGAAACCACTCATTGTGGGCATTTTCTCACCAAAACTGGCCTTCCTATCTGCTAGTAGGCTGGACGCCAAAGGCAGGTAGCTCAGGCCTGGCCACAGGCCATGGGGCTTGCCAGCAGACTATTTCTTCAGAATACACATTTTTAAAAATATATTTTTTACTAATTTCAGAGAAGGGAGAGGGAGGGAGAGAGAGAGAAACATCCATGATGAGAGAGAACCACTGATCAGACGCCTCCTGCACACCCCTTACTGGAAATCGAGCCTGAAACCCCAGCATGTGCCCTAAAGCTGTGAACCTAACCAAGCCCTCCTGTTTCACAGGTTGCCGCTCAGCCACTGAGTGATCCAGTGTGCCCGTGTGGATGGAGAGAACCAGACGGAGTTAAGAGATGTATGTGGAAGAAAAGTACATGTGCCTTGGGGATGGACTGGACCTTCAGGGTGATGTGGGAAGAATGATTCCTCAATTTCTGGCTGGCATAATTTAAAAGACATCAGTGCAATTCATCCAGATAGAGAACGGGAAGAGGCCCTGGCTTAGGAAGATAATGCATTTGCTTTGGGACATGCTGAGTTTAAAATGCCTTGGAGATACCAGGTAGGCAGGGAGATTATAGAGGTTGTCTTTCATAGTTAAGGAAATCTGTGAGCAATTAACAGGAGATTGTTTGGGGAGAAGAGGGCCTAGAGCCCAGCCTGGTGCCAACAAGCATTTACAAAGCAGAAATGCAAACAGGATGGGGGAAGACCAGCCAGATGAGCTGCAGGAGCCCAAAGAAAAGAATGTCACCAGAAGGAAGCAATACTCCAGGGGCTCAAACACTCCTGAGAACTCCACTCCACTGAAAACTAAAAAGTGTCCGTTGGGTTTAGCGACTTAGAGGCCCTGTTCCTTCCAACCAGTGGTTTCTCCAGTGACCCAGGGGGTGACCGATGGGAGTGGGTTAACGAGCTGATAATGAAATGGCTGGAAACAGACCACTCTGGAGAAGTCTGGCTGTGAGTGAAGGGGAGGGGAGTGGCCGTGGGTGGGAGGGGGTGGAATCAGCAGCTTATTTTGTTTCGTATCCTTAAACAGGAACTCGTAAAGCATGTTTAAAAGACGGTAGGAAAAACTCTTCCAAGAACGGACGATGATGCTAGGGAATGACCCGGCGGTTCCCCCGTCCCCGCTCTCTCTCCTCCTCCCGCGTTCTCTCCCCATCGCCCCCGGCTCTTCTCCCCCTCCTCCGCTACGCACAGCCCCAAGACCCACAGCCCCCGGGCCCGCCAGCCCCGCACGCAGGCGCCTCCTCACCGCAATGGCCCCTTCGCTCAGGCGTCCCACCATGCCTGCGCCGCGCTAACTCCCGCGTTTCGGATCCCGATGCACTGGCTGCGCTCCCGGGACCGGCGCGCTCTGCGGCAATTGGCCCGCGGAGCCGCGTACGCCACTTCCGCCTCCTGGCCTGCGCGCGGATCAGGGGCGGGCCTAGGAGCTGAGCGGCCACCTCATTGGCCGAGGCAGGGCGCGCGGCCCACGTGACCCTCCGGTTCCGGGCCGCTTCCCGGGAAAGTTGGGCCCGCTGGGCGGGGAGCTGAACTGCCGGACGCGCCAAAGGGTGACGCGGGCGCTGCCACTGGCCTTCAGGGACCAGTTCCGGGAGCTTTGCTGGCGGGCTTGTGGGGACATGCCCGGCTCGGCCTTTAATGGGCAGAGAGGCTGGTCACCCAGAGCGGAGTTAGAGCGGGTGCCCTGCCGCTAAGTGTAGTCAATGCTGGGTGTGGACCCCGAGCTTAGCACAGAGGGAGTTTCTGAATGTAAATGGGACCCGGTTCCTGACCTCAGAGGCGAGCGGTCTGTCGAGGGAGCTTCCGCTGTGAGTAAGCCTAACTCCAGGCAGACATGGGATAGGAAAGAGACACGTGTGCTGGAATCACACAGATGGGAAGTCAGGGAAGGCTTCCCGGAGGAGGTGCCACTTTGAACTGAATCTTGAAGGATGGGTGGTCATTGGCCTTGTGGACTTCAAATGAGAGTAGGGATGCCCCCAGAAAAATGAGTGGCCTGTGCAAAAACTAGTGAGATGGCCCTAACTGGTTTGACCACAGTGGACAGGGCGTTGGTCTGCGGACTGAAAGGTTCCAGGTTCGATTCCAGTCAAGGGCATGGACACATCCCCAGTAGGAGGTGTGCAGGAGGCAGCTGATGGATGTTTCTAACTCTCTATCCCTCTCCCTTCCTCTCTGTAAAAAATCAATAAAACATATTTTTGAAATAAAAATAAATGGAAAAAAATATTCTCAGGTGAAGATTTTAAAAATAATAATAAAAAAATAAAAGAAAAATCTCGGATATCCCTCAGGTTTCAGGCTTGAGCAACTGGGATAGATGGAGGTCTAAGGGGACAGGGATGGTGGCTGTCGGTCACCTAGCAAAGTGCCTGGAACAGAGTAGGCTTTTAATAAATATTTTTTTAAAGAATTTTTTAGAGAAAGAGAAAGGGAGAGAGAGAGAGAGAGAAACATAGATATGAGGAGGAAATACCCATTAGCTGCCTTCCACAGGCGCCCCCTAATGGGATGGAGCCTGCAACCTGGGCATGTGCACTGACCAAAAATCCCACCAGCCTTTCCATGCAGGGGGGAAGCCCACCCCACTGAACCACCCGACCAGGGCTAAACATTTCTAAATGAAAGGACAGTTGAGTGAACTGGTGTGAGAGAATATAGAGCCTTCTTCAGCACATAAATAAATACCTATTGAAAATGTTCAGGAGAATAGCCCGCTGGAGTGGCTTAGTTGGCTGAGCATAGTTCTGTGCACAGAAAGGTTACTGATTTGATTCCCTGTCAGGGAACATGCCTGGGTTGGGAGCTTCATCCCCATTAGAGGGGTGTGCCAAGGCAGTCAGTCGATCAATGTTTCTCTCTTACATCAATGTAGCTTTCTCTCTCTTTTCCCCTCCCCATCTCCTCCCTCTTCCTCTCCCTCTCATTCTCCCTCTCCCTTTTACTACTTCCTCTCACTCTCCCTCCTTCTCTCTCCCTGCCTCCCATCCTCTCTCAATGCATGTGAGGACTCGGGTAAGGACTAAAATAAAAAGATCACAAGCATTGATTTTCTTGCTTCATGCTTGCTGGAATAAAATCTTGATTTGCTAGAACTACACATTTGTAGAAATCCGAACTCCTTATTTTCTCTTCATTTTGTAGATCTAAAGGACCATGGATCTGCCTGTGGATGAGTGGAAATCGTACATACTTCAGAAGTGGTCTTTGGTCCCAAAATCCATTCGGGACACAATTTGTACAGCAGAGACTTTGAGCGATATCTTTCTTCACTCCTCTTCGCTTCTTCAGTGAGTAAATGGAAGCTTTAACCGGGGAAATTTGGATCTGGAAAATGTTCCCAGGTGTCATTTGCCCTTAAGTTTTATCTTTTTGATGGAAGGATTAAATTTAAATTTTTAGATTTTGGGACATTCAGCAGTTCTTGCTATTTCCAATGTTTCCTAACCTACTATTGTAGAAAAGGTAGGGATGCTATTTAGCTTTTTCGGCATCAATGTTATGTTTTAATAGTAAGTGCCTTGCTATAGAGTCACTAGGCTGTGAACATTGCCATTTCCCAAAGGTTGTAATGGAGATTTACTGGCTGTACACAGAAATCCCTAAGTGCTCAAATTCAGAAGGGACCTTACAGGATTAACTCCAGTATTTTTCAAACTCTCTTGACTACTCTCTTCAGTAAGAAATACTTTGTATCCCAGCCTAATACACATACGTATACAGTATATATAGAGAGGAAAAACTGAAACAAGAGTTTCCTACAAGTTCAGTGAATTTTTATTGATCACCTATTTTGCACCACACATTCTCTGAACCTAATAAAAGACGTCAACCCGCAGATTCCACAAGCTTAGCAAATCCCAAACAGTGTACACATAAATAAAGCCACACCTAGGGACAGCAGACTCAAACTGCCAAAAACTAAAGAAAGAAGAAGAAATCTTAGGTGGCAGCCAGCTCCAACTTGGCACCATGGCTGCCCTCAGACCCTTGTAAAACCAGGATTGTCAAAAACAGGACCAAGAAGTTCGTCTGCGGTCAAACCAGTATGTCAGAATTAGGCGGAACTGGGGAAAGCCTAGAGGCATTGACAGTAGGATGTGCAGAAGTTCAAGGGCCAGATCTTGATACCCAACATTGGTTATGGGAGCAACAAGAAAACAAAGCGGCCGGGACCGGTTTGGCTCAATGGATAGAGCGTCGGCTTGGGGACTGAAGGGTCCCGGGTTCGATTCCGGTCAAGGGCATGTACCTTGGTTGCGGGCATATCCCCAGTGGGGGGTGTGCAAGAGGCAGCTGATCGATGACTCTATCTCATCGATGTTTCTAACTATCTCTCTCCCTTCCTCTCTGTATAAAATCAATAAAATATATTTTAAAAAAATAAAACAAAAAGAAAACAAAGCACATGCTGCCCAGGGGCTTTTGGAAGTTTCTGGTCCACGCCTTCAAGGAACTTGATGTGCTGCTGATGTGTAGCAACTCTTCCTGCGTGTGCTGAGATTGCACACACCGTATCCTCAACAACCACAAAGCTGTTGTGGAAAGAGCAGCTCAGCTGTCCATCAGTCACTAATTCCAATGCCAGGCTGCACAGCGAAGAAATGAATAGGCAGATTGTGTACACATTGTATTTGTGTTAGGAAAGCCATAAAATTCTAAAGAGAGAGAGAGAGAGAGAGAGAGAGAGAGAGAGAGAGAGAGAGAGAGAGAGAAAATGAATCTTAAAAACAACCAAAGAAGAAGAAAAAAAAGATGTTACCCATATGCAAGTAAAAATAAGACAATGGCTGATATTTTTTTCCAGTAAAATTATGGAAGCCAGAAGACAATTAAATGGCACATTTAAAATACTAAAAGGAAAACAAAGCAAAATAAAACTTGCCAATCTAGAACTCTGTACCTAATGAAAGTATCTTTCAAAACTTAGGAAGTAGTAAAAGTACTAACCACTTCTTGGTGCATGGGGGGAGAGGGGAATGCTCAACCAACTGAGCCACACCACCCAGGACACAAATCAGTTTTATTGATCTCACTTAAGACCTTTCAGGGGTTTCTTTTGCTCCTATAATAAAGACTAAAATTCTTACTATAGAGAGCCAGTAAAGACATTGCAATCTAACCATTGCTATCTCTCTGGCCTCCTCTTTCATTACACTCCCCTTTCAGACATATTGGCCTTCTTTCAATTCTTTTATTTGTTTGTTTAAGTTTATCTTTATTATTGAAAGTATTATAGATGTCTCCCTTTATCTTCCCCATTGCCTCCCTCCCCCCTGCTCCTGCCCCATCCCCTTATTTAAAAAAAAAAAAATTATTATCTGTGTACATATCTTACCATTGCCCCCCCATTTCAATTCTTGATATGCATTATGCTTATTCATACCACATGGCCTCCACTTATATTTCTTCTGCCTGAAATTCTATTTCTATCTCCTCTTTACTCCACCATGCCCTAAGAACTAATTAACTTCTGCTCATCCTTCAGAAACATATAAATCTTTCCTCAGAAAGCTTTCCTTAGATCCCAGCTGGGTCATATTCATTTTAAAAAATATATATTTTATTGATTTTTTACAGAGAGGAAGGAAAAGGGATAAAGAGATAGAAACATCCATGAGAGAGAAACATCGATCAGCTGCCTCCTGCACACCCCGTACTGGGGATGTGCCTGCAATTAAGGTACATGCCCTTGACCGGAATCGAACCTGGGACCTTTCAGTCCACTGACCGACGCTCTATCCACTGAGCCAAACCGGTTTTGGCTCTTTATTTTCTTTTTTTTTTTTAATATATTTTTATTGATTTCAGAAAGGAAGGGTAAGGGAGGTAAAGATAGAAACATTGATTGGCTGCCTCTTGCATGCCCCCTACTGGTGATAGAGCCCACAACCCAGGCATGTGCCCTTGACCGGAATCGAATCCGGGACCCTTCAGTCTGCAGGCTGATGTTCTATCCACTGAGCCAAACCAGCTAGGACATGTTTATTTTTTATACATTTATAACACTGCATACTTTTCCTTTTTATATATGTCTAGTCATTTGATTAATATCTGTCTTCACTACTAGACTATAAACTCCATAAGGGCAAGGACCTTGTCAATATTTGTTTGTCTTTCTTTAGACAAGAGCAGTGCAGTGTCAGAAACACAAGTACTCAAATACTGATTGAATGACAGTTTGATGATGTGTATGAAGCTCTTAGTTCGGTGACTGACACATATTAATGCTAACTATGACCTATAAATGAAGACCTCATCTATATGCAGACACATAAACATATGTTTCAAGCTCAAGGTAGTCATTTTATCTTTGTGCCAGCAACTAACACAGTGTCTTTCTAGTTCTTTTTATGTATTCTCATTCATTTGTAGATAAATATGCACATATCTTTTTTATTCTCGGTTAAATTATGTTATGTGTTTTGTTCTGTGAGGTTTTTTCCCAACATCACACCTTAATCTTTTTAGCAACTTCATGGTATTGCTAGTGTAATATGGTAAATTTAGTTATTCTTTTCTCTGTTGATGGGCAATTAATTATTTCTATATTGTTTTTCTTTTTTTTTCTTTTTTACTGTTACATACAGTGCTGTAGTGAACAACTTTTATATGTTTTTGTACATACATTTAGAACTTAACATAGGACCTTAGAAGAGGAATTGTTGCATCAGTGGTTATGAGCACTTAAAATTAAATAAATACTGCATAATTGTCTTCCAAAAGGGTTTACCACAAATAGCATATGAAAATCACTTTCCCAGGTCCTCACCAACATTAAAAGCAACAGTCTTTAACTTTGCCAACCACAAGGACAAAATAATCTTGGTTAATTTTCATTTTTCTGATTACTAATAAAGTAATTCACCATTTCCAATATTATCACCCATCTATAGATCAACTGTGAATTGTTCATTTCTGCCTTTTGCCCATCTTTCTAGCGAGTTATCTGTCTTTCTCTTATTAATTTGTAAATCTGGCTGTGTAATTCTTTGTTATATATGCTACAAATTTTTCTTTTATCTATTTTATTTTCAATATCTTGCATTATATATAAATTATGTGTATATGCTTTAACTTTTACTCAGCCATGTCTGTCATTTTCTTTTTGGCTTCTGGGTTATGTGTCTTACTTAGGATAGTTTACTCAAAGATTATAAAAATATCCTTTATTTTTTTTCTAACTTTTTTTGTTTGTTTTGTTTTTAGTTCTCTAATCCATCTGGAACTTATTTTTCTGTATGACATGAGAGAGTACTAGACGTATTTTTCCAGATAATATTTTTCACAGTATTTATTGAATAGTCAATCCATTCTTTCCCCATGGCTTCAAAATACTACATTTATTAAAAATTAAATTTCTGCCTGGCTGGCACGACTCAGTGGTTGAGCATCAACCCATGAACCAGGAGGTCATGGTTCAATTCCTGGTCAGGGCACATGCCCACGTTGGAGGCTTGATACCAGATAAGGTGCATGCAACAGGAAGCTGATTGATGATTCTTTCTCATCATTGATGTTTCTGTCTCTCTCTCTTTCTCCCTCCCTCTTCTCCCTTCCTCTCTCTGATATTAATAAAAATATATATATTTTTAAAATATATTTTGATTTTTTACAGAGAGGAAGGGAGAGAGATAGAGAGCTAGAAACGTCAATGAGAGAGAAACATCGACCAGCTGCCTTTTGCACACCCCCTACAGGGGATGTGCCCGCAACCAATGTACTGCCCTTGACCGGAATAGAACCTGGGACCTTTCAGTCCGCAGACTGATGCTCTACCACTGAGCCAAACCGGTTTCGGCATGATAGGTAGTTCTATGGAAAGGAGGATGGACTGCATTCCATGTTAGCTCCCATGTCTCAGGAGAGGCATACAACTCTCAGCCAGGTTAGAATGTGCTTTCTCTAAGCAGAACAGAACCATCTGGTTAATAGAGCATGATTAATATTTCTTATCATTGTAGCTAGTCCCCAATATCCTATTTCTGCCCCTAACACAATGATTAAGAGTTTTCCTTGAAATAACAAAGCCTTCCTTGAAATATGTTGTGGGGTGTTTTTTGTTTGTTTCTTTCACCATCAAGACCAGAGGATGAGATGTTTCTAAAAGAGCTTTCTAGAGGTTACCTGGTGGGAAAGGACCCCGATGCTCCCCTTTTCTACAGAGAAGAAGGAAACAAAAAATTTCAGGAGAAGGATTATGTGGGAGCCACAGTGCTGTACACTAAGGTAAGACACTCCCAGCTCAATGGGATGGGACTATTTCAGCAATTTATCCAGGCATATTTCCTCAAATGCCCAATTGTGTAGCCAAGGGTAGCTTTGTCTATAATTTGTGGATTGGATTTGAAAAAGAAGACTGACAGGGTTCCCCCGTTGGCTATATTCTGAGACCAAGGGTAGTTTGTATTGATGTCCTGAATTCAGCAGTCCTTCATACACCCTGGAGCGGGAGTATTGGACCATTCCCCTACCTTGTTCATGTCTGTCAGCTTTCATGGAATTGTACACCATTTTTGTCTAAAGGAGGCTATTGTTTGATAGAGAGCGGCTAGATTTTTGGTTAGCCACCGTGTGACTTAGATGAAGTCAGAAAGGACAATAAGCTCAATTGCCACAGCCCAGTTGAACTCCATTTTGAAGGTTATCAACAAATATTTAAAAATTACACTAACCATCAATGATCTAGATTTTGAGGAGGAATACTGGCTTTTATCAACCTTTTGCTGTTGTTGTCCTCCTTCATGGTAGGAACTGGAACAAGATCCCTAAAAGATTTCCTTCCATAACTTTTAAAAGATAAATGCTATATAGCCCTAACCGGTTTGGCTCAGTGAATAGAGAGTCGGCCTGCGGACTCAATGGTCCCAGGTTTGATTCCGGTCAAGGACATGTACCTTAGTTGCAGGCACATACTCAGTAGAAAGCGTGCAGGAGGCAGCTGATCTATGTTTCTAACTCTACCCCTCTCCCTTCCTCTCTAAAAAATCAGTAAAATATATTTATTTATTTTTAGAATTTTTGTGATGAGTTTATTATTTATTGATTGATTGATTTTATTGATTTTTTTTTTTTTTTACATAGAGGAAGGGAGAGGGATAGAGAGTCAGAAACATCAATGGGAGAGAAACATCAATCAGCTGCCTCTTGCATACCTCCTATTGGGGATGTGCCTGCAACCAAGGTACATGCCCTTGACTGGAATCGAACCCAGGACCCTTCAGTCCATAGGCCGATGCTCTATCCACCAAGCCAAACCAGCCTGGGCAGTAAAATATATTTAAAAAGAAAAAATAAATATAGATTTAAAGCAAGATGTATCACTCCCTGGCACCAGGTCTGTGATCTTGTATATTAAAAGAATGAGTGTTGCCCTAGCCGGTTTGGCTCAATGGATAGAGTGTCGACCTGCATACCAAAGGGTTCCAGGTTTGATTTCAGTCAAGGGCATGTACCTTGGTTACAGGCACCTCCTTAGCCTGGGCCCTGGTCAGGGCTTGTGCAGGAGCCAACCAATCAATGTGTTTCTCTCACATCAATGTTTCTCTCTGTCTTGCTCTCTCTTCCACTCTTTCCAAAAATCAATGGAAAACTATCCCTGGGTGAGGATTAACAAAAAAAGTGTATAAATTACTGTGAATCTTTAGCAGGCCTATCAGACCTACAGCAGCAGCTTCGATAATTGCTAAAAAGCCCTGCTTTGTAATGTTGTAACCAAGTATTTAGCTGAATAATGTGTTAGTGATTGCTGAGGAATTAAAACTCATTAGATGTAATGATCCACTGATAGGTGGCTTAGTTCTTCAGAGCTAATCTCTTCCACTTTATGTGTGCTCCATAAATGTGATCCCTGGAAATTGTTACAGAAAAAGCATATAAGCCCAGCCAGTGTGGCTCAGTGGTTGAGTGTGATGACCTATGAACCAAGAGGTCACAGTTGGATTGCCGGGTTGTTGGCTAGCGCTCCAGTGTGGGATGTGCAGGAGGCAGCTGATCCATGATTCCTTCTCATCATTTCTGTTTCTCTCTCTCTCCCTCTCCCTTCCTCTCTGAAATCAATAAAGACATATTTTTTAAAAAGAAAAGAAAGACACATAAACTAAAAAGTAAAATCAGACTGAAAAAAGACTGGATGTGGAGAGAGACGGACCTTCCTATTTCATGAAGCTAGTATTTTGGTGATTATGATACTTTGCAATTTTTAATAAGTGATTTTCTTTCTTTTTCATAATAATAGTTGTTGCTTTTGATTGGTTGCAAGTGCAATATATGTTTCCTTGGAAAATATAGAGAAGCACAGAGGATAGAGAAATCCCATCGCCAATGACAGGCATTGTTAACGTTTTTGCTTGTATCCATCCAGCCATGTTTTCCTCTGAAAATACGTCTTTTTTTTTTTTTTTTTTTTTTTTTTTTTTTTTTACAAAATTGGGATAATGCTGTACTTACTGCTTTGTAACCTGCTTTTTCCTCGCTATAATTTATTGTGACCATTTTCTCGTGTTATTAAATTTTCCACTAGAACATGATTTTTTACGGCTGGCTTAGTGTTCCATTACAGAGAACTACACTTGATTTAACATCTAACGTTGGCAGATTGTTTGGTATCATAAAGCTGCAAGGAGCATCTTCCCATGGAAATATTTGTACACATCTGCTTATTTCCTTAGGATTCAGTTCCCAGAAGCGCAGTTGCTGGGTCAGTTGAGTGTAATTTGTTAAGGCATTTGGTACTCGATGCTAAATTGTTCTCCAGGAGAGAGTTGGTTAACATCCCTTGAGCAGATTATGGGAATACTCATACCTCTATATCCTAAGCAACACTGGAATATTATGGTTTCATTATTTTATCAAGGCATTTTTGAATAGGAAATGTGTTTATGTAGTTGGAATTTAAAAAGTGCAAGATTATACAGTGTAGTCTACTTCCTCTGGCCCCAGCCACCTCATTTTCCATGCCCAGAAGATACAGTATTAAATGTATCTTTCCAGAGCCACTTTGGTCTCTATAAATATTGCAAATAATCTCCCACTCCTGCGCACACACACAAACTTTTTAAAAATTATTTGTTTTAACCGAAACTGGTTTGGCTCAGTGGATAGAGCGGTGGCCTGTGGACTGAAGGGTCCCAGGTTCGATTCCGGTCAAGGGCATGTACCTTGGTTGCAGTAACATCCCCAGTGGGGATGTGCAGGAGGCAGCTGATCGATGATTCTCTCTCACCTATGTTTCTGGCTATCTGTCCCTCTCTCTTTCTCTCTGTAAAAAAATCAATAAAATATATATATTTTTTTAATTATTTGTTTTAGAGGAGAGAGGGAGAGAAAAACATAGATTTGTTGTTCCACTTATTTATGCATTCATTGGTTGATTCTTGTATGTGCCGTGACCAAGGATCGAACCCTCAAACTTGGTATATGGGGACAGTGCTCTAACCAACTGAGCTACCTGGATAGGGCCACACTCTTTTGATACAGTCTTTAGCACTGTCCTTTTGCCACTTAATAAATATCTTAAGATCATTTTTACATATAATTGATGTCCTATAGATGAATATTCTATCTTGCTATTTAAAGCAATTTTGTGATGCGAAATTTTGCATGTATGTTATTTTGCACATATCTATAGGATAAATATATGTCTGTAGGATAAATTCTTAAGAGAGAAATTGCTGGGTCAATGGATCCGTATAGTTAAATTGCCCTCTATAATCATGAGATTAATTTACCCTCCCACTAGCAACACATGAGAATCATTATTCTCCCACTTCTTTACCACCTCAGTGTCCTAGCAATTTTATTTTTCTTTGCCAAACTAATAAGTAAAAAAATGGAATCTCAGTAAGGTTTTAATTTGCATTTAATTTGCTGTTTATGAATGAGGTTGAGTATTTTTTATATTTTTTTTTTTAATATATTTTATTGATTTTTTTACAGAGAGGAAGGGAGAAGAATAGAGAGTTAGAAACATCGATGAGAGAGACATTGATCAGCTGCCTCTTGCACACCCCCTATTGGGGATGTACCCGCAACCAAGGTACATGCCCTTGACCGGAATCGAACCCGGGACCTTTCAGTCCCCAGGCTGACGCTCTATCCACTGAGCCAAACCGGTTTCGGCGTATTTTTTATATGTTTAAGAGCCATTTATATTTCCCATTAGAACTGTCCATATAATTTTCTTATTTTCCAATTGAGTTATTGTTTGTCATCTTATTGATCTGTAGGAACTGTCCATAAAGTAAAGAAATGAGCCCTTTGCCTATAATATGAGTTGCAGATATATATTTCCAGTTCAGTGTTTGTCTTTTAATATTGCTTTTATTGGTTTTTACTGTAAAGAAATTTGTTATTTTTATGTGGTTAAATTTATTAACCTTTTATGACTTCTGGGTTTTGTGTCATAATTAGAAAGGTATTCCTCACTGCAACATCCCGTTAGACTATTTCTGTGGTTTCCTCCAGTGCCCTTATAGTTTCATTTTTTTGCATTAAGATTTTGATTGATTTGGAATTTATCCTATTGAAAGTCTTATCATATATAGAGAACCAATTTTATTTTTCCTCAATGGCTACCTATTCTCCCCAATACTTTTTACTGAATAATTCCCATCTTTTCTCCAGTGCTTTGAGATGCTACCCTTTTTATTATTAACTAGAGGCCTGGTGCACAAAATTCATGCACAGTGGGGGTCAGGGGGGGAAATTCCTCAGCCCGGTCTGCATCCTCTCGCAATCCGGACCCCTCGGGGAATGTCAGGCCTACACATTCCTCTCACAATCCGGACGCTGCATGCAACAGTGACCATAGTTTTCATACAGGTGAAAGGCATCTTGCTGTTGTATGGGCAGTTACACTTTTTGCCCTGATTATAAAAAGTAATACAGCCGAAACTGGTTTGGCTCAGTGGATAAAGCGTCAGCCTGCGGACTGAAAGGTCCCGGGTTCGATCCCTGTCAGGGGCATGTACCTTGGCTGTGGGCACATCCCCGGTAGGGTGTGTGCAGGAGGCAGCTGGTCGATGTTTCTCTCTCATCGACGTTTCTAGCTCTCTATCTCTTTCCCTTCCTCTCTGTAAAAAGTCAATAAAATATATTTTAAAAATAAAATAAATAAAATAAAATCCTTAAAAAAAAAAAAAAAGTAATACATAACATGATCCTTCTGAGGCAGTAGTACCATTTCCCCCATCTTATGGATGGAAAAACTGAAGCAGAAAGAAATTAAGTAATTGGCTTTGTCACACAGTCATGAGTGTCAGAATCAGGATTGACCACTGAATGTGCAAGCCAGAGTCTATGCATGTCATTGCTGCATCACCCTGTTTTTTCAGTATTAAAGTAGTCCTGCCAGGTTTTAATTTTTAAATCTAAGAGACTGTTCCCAATATATAGCGTAGGGCCCTAGGCCTGGCTGATGATCAGAGCCATCTGTGGGGCAACTGGCGGGTGGGACGATTGGGGGGCCTCAGCTGGTATCTGCCTTGGCTGGCAACCTGGCACTACCCACTGGCCAGCCCTGCCCCCTGCTGCTGGCACCAGTCACCTCCCTCTGAGGGGGCAGACACTCAACACAGGAGGGGGCAACCAGTCGTTCTGCTGTTTGATCGATTTGCTTATTAGGGTTTTATTATATAGGATCCTTGGTGGTAGAACAAGCATGGCCCTTTGCTTTCATTTTCATGTATTTGGTTCTCTCTGTATGGATTTCCCATTTGTTTCCCATAGCTCATAGTGCTTTTTTTGTGTGAATTTCTATTTGTGCCACTCAGTCTTTGTTATGTACAGGATTATGCTCCTCGCTTTTCATTTACCTTTCGTATTGTTTGTGCCTGAGGAAGCTGTGTCTGATGCTGTTACCTTCCAAGTGCTTTGAGTATTTATTTCTACACTTGCTCTTCGCAGCTTTGCTCAAAACTAGTTAGAAATGAAGCTGAAGCAGGTGAAGCCCATAAAAATCCAGTAAAATTTCCAAATTGCATCCAGTGTTTAGTAGTAGAGCCCCTATTATCTGAAAACAAAACAGCTTAAAGATGCTATTCCTCACCTGTTCCTTTAACTGTTCATTGGTTTGCAGGGAGTATCGCATTCAAGGCCAAACACTGAGGACATTTCGTTGTGTTATGCCAATCGCTCTGCAGCCCTCTTCCGCCTGGGCCAGTATGAAGTGAGTATTAGGATGCCGGGGTGATTGGAGAGGATCTGGAGGAGGTTTGTCTATGCTTCTACCTTAGAATGCTAAAATTGAGCCTGGCCAGCATGGCTCAGTGGTTGAGCATGGACCTATGAACCAAGGGGCCACGGTTCAATTCCCGGTCAGGACATATGCCCTGGTTGCAGCCTGGATCCCCAGTAGGGAGCGTGCAAGAGGTAGCCAATCAATGATTCTCATCATGGATGTTTTTATCTCTCTCTCTTTCTCCTTTCCTCTCTGAAAACAATAAAATTCTATTTAAAAATAAATAAATAAAAATCAAATTGAGCCATGCTGCAACTAATTGAATTGGAAGCAAATTGATCTCCTCCCAAACTTGTTCTTTCTCCTGACTCATTTCACCAGTCAGACTTGATTATGTGGGATAGTGGTGGTTGATAAGAGATCATGCCACATTCCACAGGGTATTGGACTATATCCAGTGGGTCAGCAGTTCTCAGTGTTGAGATCATCTGTGAGATAAGTTGCTAATAATACTTCAGGTTCCAAGTGTTTGCAAACTATTGTGTGTTGTTTAAAAAATAAATAAAAAAGTAGAGCATGTTCAAGATGATTCCTGCAATAACATAGCTCACTTTTATTAAAAAAAATGTTTTATTGATTGTAGTATTGCATATGTGTCCTTATTCTCCCATTAACCCTAACTCCCCCCATTCATGCCCTTACCCCCCTGTTGACTGTGTCCATTGATTAGGCTTATTTGCATGCATGTAAGTCCTTTGGTTGGTCTCTGTCCCTTACCTCCACCCTCCCCTACCTTCCCTGAGGTTTGAGCTTCTGAAGGATGTTTCTCTGCCTCTGGATCTGTTTTCTTTGTTGTTGGTGTTTGTTTGTTTGTTTTGTTTTGTTTGTTTGTTTGTTTGTTTAAAATAAATCTCTATTGTTCAGATTACAATTGTTCTTTTTTCCCCCATATCCCTCCTCCACCATGTTCCTACCCCATCCTCTGCCCTTATCTCCCCCCATCTGTCCTCATCCATAGGTCCATCTCTTCCCGCACCCCCACACCCCCACACCCGTTTCCCCCCAAGAATTGTCAGTCCACTCCCTTTCTATGCCCCTGATTCTATTATATTCACCAGTTAACACTGTTCATCAGATTTTTTATTCACTTGTTGATAGATACAACAACGATTTGTTGTTCATAATTTTTATCTTTACCTTTTTCTTCTTCTTAATACTTTTTAGCATTTCATATAATACTGGTTTGGTGGTGATGATTAGTGACTTTAAGAAGGTTTTCATATGTCTCTTGGCCTTCCTTCTGTCTTCTTTCAAAAAGTATTTACTTAGGCCAGTTGTCCATTTTTTTATTGGGTTGTTTAACTTCCTTTTATTAAGTTGTATGAGTCATAGCTCACTTTTAATATGCATTTTGAGTGGAAAATAAAAGTGGCACCGAATTGCCTGTGTATATCAGTGAGGGGGTGGGCTTTGGGTGGGGGTGGGTTTCTTCTCATTCCATACCGGAGGTCCAAGGATAAGCTCTGAATTGCCAGTTTGGTACATCCATTTCAGAATTACACGGAAATTTAAATGATGCACTAGAATAAGAATGACTTTAGTAATTACAAGTTGACACTTATTGCCCTATTGACTAAAAAAGAAGAGCAAGACTCTGGGTGGTAAACAAGGAAGTCCTGGGCTACTGAAGACAGTGATTGGAAGAACTTGTGAAACATTTAACCCTTTTTAACCTCCCTGTATTGGTTGTTTCTATTTCCCTTCTTATAGCAATGATTGCAATATATTGAGCACATACATTGTTCCAGGCACTTGTTTCAACCTTTTAGGTGGATTGCCTTATTTTTATTCTTATTTCAGCCCCATAAGAGAGGGAGATTATTTTCCCTATTTTTCAGATGAGAAAACTAAGACACTGAGAAATTAAGTCACTTGCACAGGTCATACAGCTAGTAAAAAGCAGAGTTCGTACTGGAACGCAGGCCTTGCCCTCTTGATCACCATACTATAATTCTTCTATCTGTAAGACTATTTTCCTTGAAAAAATAGAAATATTTCATAAGGTGGTTCAGTAGAGTCTCTTTAGCATGGATTCCTTATCACTCAAAAGGTCACATGGGAGAATATGATTTAAAGAAATAAATGCAAGCATGTGCTTCCTTTTTAATAATCTTTCATTTTCCTTTAGATTTTTGTTAAGACTTTCAGTAGATAATGAAGACTAGGAACCAAGGATCATTTGGGGATTTCCTTTCTGTTTTCAGGCATGTCTTAAAGACATCAGCAGAGCACAGACGCATGGGTATCCAGAAAGATTGCAACTCAAGATGATGTTACGTAAGGCAGAGTGTCTGGTGACTCTGGGGAGACTACAGGAGGCAAGCCAGATCATCCGTGATCTGGAAAGTAATTTCACTGACAGACAAACCCTAGCAGCTTCCCAGTTCCAAATTCTGCAGAGCACCCTCTGTCGTCTAAAAACGAAGGTACAGGAAAAGGAGACCCCCACAGGAACCTTCCCAGCAGCTCTAACCACCGACTTTGAGGATATGAACCTAAGGGAAGAGAATGAACGGATTTCCTGTGCATCCTCATCTGTCACTTTATGCACAGACCCTTCAAAAGGCCGCGGTCTGATCGCCACAAAGGATATTCTCCCCGGAGAGCTCCTGGTGAAAGAGGACGCTTTCGTGAGTGTCCTCAACCCAGGAGAAATGCCACCGCTACATGCCAGCCTGGAGAGCAAGTGGGATACCAGAGCCACCAATGGGGACCTGTACTGTCACCGGTGTTTGAAGCACACTCTGGCCCCTGTTCCCTGTGACGGATGCAGCTATGCCAAGTATTGCAGCCAAGAGTGTATGCAGCAGGCCTGGGGTCTCTACCACAGGGTAGAGTGTCCTCTAGGCGGGCTGCTTCTCACACTGGGGGTCTTTTGCCACGTTGCCCTGAGGGCAACCCTCTTAGCTAGACGTGAGGATGTCGGCAAAGTCACAAGGACGCTTTGTGACGAGATCAGTAACAGGGACATCCGTTCACCTGAAAGCAAGAATCTGGTGCCAACCCTCGGTCACGACCTGGCAGGGGAGAGGGAGAAAAATGGCGAGACAGTTGAGCCCCCAATTCCCGGATGTGATAGTAACGGGAAATATGAAAGCAATTATAATGCTGTCTTGCACCTTTTGCCCCACACTCAAAATCATGGCCCAGAGCACAAATTCCTCTGCGCTCTCAGCGTTGCTGCCCTGTGCAGGCAGCTGGAAGCAGCCAGTTTGCAGACCCGCACAACAAGTCTGAAATCCTCTCAGCCCGAAGCTGCAGTGGTTCCTGCGACGAGTCAAGAGCTGCATAGTTGGGGAGTGGCCATGCTGAGACACATGTTACAGCTACAGTGTAACGCTCAGGCAATAACTACCCTACAGCAGACAGGTGAGGGAAGCTTTTCTGCTCACTGTATTCTTTTTTTTCTTTTCTTCCCCTCCAATCTTCACCCAAGGACATGCTAGGAGAGTGGTCGGCAAACTGCGGCTCGCAAGCCACATGCGGCTCTTTGGTCCCTTTAATGTGGTGGCTCTTCCACAAAATACCACGTGCAGGCGCACAGGTACAGCGCGATTGAAACTTGGTAGCCCATGCGCAGAATTCTGTTTTTGGCTCTCAAAAGAAATTTTAGTTGTTGTACTGTTGATATTTAGCTCTATTGACTAATAAGCTTGCCGACCACTGTGCAAGGAGAAAGGAAGCCAAGCAGGAGCAGGGGGGTGGAGGGGTGGAAAGGTGGCGGTCGATCAGTTGCCTTCCACATGCACCCCCACGAGGGATCAAACCTGAAACCCAGATATGTGCCCTTGACCAGGAATCAACCTAGCAACCTTTGGGTGCGTGGGTCAGTGCGTCCAACCAACTGAGCCCCCCTGGCCAGGCACAGTATTGTCCTTGATGTAGCTGTTTGGGGAGAAAGCACTATAAAAACTCAGGTCGTTTCATGGGAAAACACAGTGGTCTTGTATGATCATGATTATGCCATTGAGAAGCTATGTAACCTTAACAAATGATTTGATCCCATTCTGCCTCTGTTTTCTCGTCTTTAAAAAAGGGGGGTGGGGAGGGAATTTAATCCCACATAACTTTTAAGAGTTGTGAAGATGACATGTTTGTTTGTAAAAATATTTTAAAGTTAAAAACCCTATTACTCTATTTTTTTTATTGTGAAGGAAAGCTGAAACAATCATTAAACAAGACTGCAGAAAGAACGGGGCCTGTAGTTAAGTATCAGAATCTTAGCTCACTCATGTGAACCGGACACTCTGTCTCTTCTCTTTCCAATGGACACATTTTCTTCTTCTCTTGTTTTAAATTTCCAAGAGAGGAATCCGGCAGAGCACAACTTTTCACACAATGCTAACACCAGCTGTTGGCCAGTCTTTGTTGGAGCTGTCCTCCGGTCAGGTGGCCCAGAACCTAGGCCTCTTCTAGATCCAGCCCAGCCCAGCCTGCTTTAATGAACAGCCTGTTCAAGGTGGATGGGGAGGTTGGATATGCCCAGCACCATAACTGACATCTCTAATATGAGCATATTGACAACAGACCTATTATTACAAAAGAAATGCTATTTCCTGTGCTTCCATCATATGATCTCCATGTTAGCAGATAATGTCTTTCGATTTAATCAGTTCATTACATTTTTCTGAATTTTATAGACAGATTAGTGTTAAATGTGGCTTAGCTCTTTGATCTCATATTAGGTAATATAGAATTTTGTCAACCTTTCGTTTATAAAGTCTTAGCTTTAATGTTAGTTCAGCTGCCAAGTGATGTGGTATATAGGTGTTTCCCGAGAGGGGTTTTGGGATAAGACTCTCTTCCTGTCCTGTAGCGCATGTAGGACATCCAATAATAGCACGGGCTTCATCCCATGTTACTACAAAATCACGTTGCAAGCTAGACTCCATTTTCTTCTTGGCCTTCTTTTGCTTCTTTGAGCCATTGCTACCCTCTAAAATACATCTTTTGAATATATTTCCCAGAATTATATTTTCCCTTGGGTACATTCACTAGCATTTTTAAAAGTATTGTTTACATTTTGTTTTATATTTTTAAATATAAAAAAAATAGTATATGGGCTTCCGGATGATAATGGCAGAAAGTAACCAACTCTTTTTTTTTTTTTAATATGTTTTTTATTGGTTTTAGAGAAGAAGGGAGAGGAAGAGAGAGAAAAAAAACATTGATCAGCTACCTCCTGCACACCCCCTACTGGGATCGAACCCACAACCTAAGTATGTGCTGTGACCATGAATCGAGCCAATGACCTTTTGGTGCCCAGGGTGTCACTCCACTAATTGAGCTGCCCGTCATATGAACATTTTTCAGGCACTTGATACATATTGCCAAATTGCTCTCCAGGAAAGTTGGACCAATTATATGCCCACCAACAATGTTTACTTTCATTTTTGAAGTCAATCAAATTTTATTTTAGTCTACTCATATTTCTAATCTTATTATATCCCTTTTTATTATTTCCTTGGGGTTCTAGCACCTCCCAATTTAGTGTTCTCATTGAATTTCATTAGTCACACAGAAGAAGGATTAAAGTGTTAACTAGAATAGACTTTGACAAAAACCTACAAAAATGTATTTTATCTTTGCATAAATCCTATTTAATCAAAGTTTCTGAGAAACCTCTCTTTGATACTGAAGGGTGAGAACTGACCATTGATGATATTCTAGACTTTGGTATGTGTGGTTCTACCTCAGTGGGAGTGGTGCATTGGTGATGTAGCTGAATTTACTTCATAATGAGGCTTAATGAGGTCCTATATAGATTTAGGTCAATTCACTGCCCTTTGTTTCCACCCTTCAACAACCAAGAAATCTATTTTCAGTTGGGATCCTTGATTACTTCTTTTTTATATATACACTAGGGGCCCAGTGCATGAATTCTTGCACCTTGAAAGGAACTGTGGGCCTCGAGGCTGTGGTAGGCACAGGGGTGGGTCTCGGCCCATCCTCCGTGCCTCTGCCAGGCCTCTCCCACTGGGGCCCCAATCCCCTGTCTGCCACAGCCCCGCTTCCACGCTCCCACTGCCACTGCCACTCCCACGTGCTGACAACATGGAGTGATTAGAGCCAACACCAGCAGCGAGTACGAGCAGGGCCAGCACTGTCAGCAGGTGCGAGTGGTGGCTGCTGCCCTGATCGCCCCTCAGGAGCAGGGGGAGGTGGAGAAACCCTCAAGGGCAATCAGGGCTGGCAGCCGCCACTTACACCCACTGATGGAGCTGAGTGATTGGGACCGGCATTGGGCACCAGCAGCAAGTGCGAGCAGCAGCTCCAGCGCCAGCTGTGGTGCAGGTGGGGCCACTGCCAGCAGTGGGTGCAAGTGGGGCCGGCAGCAGGTGCGAGCGCCAGGTGGGACCATGGCATATGGGAGCAAAGAATTTTCTTTTTTTTTTTTTTTTAATTTCTTTATTGATTAAGGTGTTACATACGTGTCCTTATTCCCCTATTACCCTCCATCCCCCCCACTCATGTCCTCGCCTCTCTGTTGTCTGTGTCCACTGGTTAGGCTTATATGCTTGCATACAAGTCCTTTGGTTAATCTCTCCCCGTTACCCCCACCCTCGCCTACCTTCCCTCTGAGGTTTGATGGTTTGATCAATGTTTCAAAAGAATTTTCAGTAATCACCAGAAGTCCCAATGACAGCGACCAGCACCACCCTGCCTTGGTCTGGTGCCCTGCTCACCTGCTCCACCATCCCACCTTGGCCAACATCTGCCATGTTCTTCACACGCCCCCTGGTGGTCAGTGCACTCAGTGACAGGTTGTTCTGATTGTTGTGAAGTTCGGTCTATTTGCATATTAGCCTTTTATTATATAGGATGTGTATGTTTATTGATTCTAGAAAGGGAGAGGGAGAGAGAGATAGAAACATCGATGAGAGAGAAATATCATCTACCGGCTGCCTTCTGCATGCCCCCCACAGGGAATTGAGTTGTACCTGGGCATGTGCCCTGAACAGGAATCAATCCAGTGGCCACTTGGTTACTGGCTCAATGCTCAACCACAGAGCTACACCAGCCAGACTAAATACCCTATTTTTTAAAAAATAATAAAAATAAATATAGGAATGTTAGCAAGGTATACTTTGGTAAAATAAAAAAAATCATTCGCTCTCCTTTTTTCTTTTATGCACAAAATATCACATATTCTATTTGGTTGATAAGGTACATACATATTCTCACTTTCTATTATCTACTGAGAGATGACTAATGCAAAATATTGACTCATTTTTTTTTTAAATCAATACTTAATTTTTTTGGAAATAATTAGAGAGACTCAACCCTGACATACATATTCACCCCACCCAGTTCCTGGGCCTACTCCTGTTAGAAGATAACCTATAAATAATTCATGAAGCTGACATTACTCGTTGTGTTGTAATCATGTTTTCTGGGAAAGTCTTCGCAGCTGTTCTAATATAGATTGCCAGTCATCAGGAGTTGGGAGTGCAAGTCAACTTTTAATTATGCAGAGGCTGATTATTCAGACCGCAAACTGCTCATGCCCGCACTGCTCCTTCCTGCTGCCTACCTTTTAGCATTTTCACTGCTCATTAGCACGTACACCCGGAGGGAGGGAGGGAGGGAGGGAGGGAGGGAGGGAGGGAGGCATTGGAGGGAGGGAGGCGTTGGGCGTTGGGCGAGGGGGAGGAGGGGAAACCAGAGTTCATTAAGCACTTAGGAGAAGCTCATGAAAGATTTCAATACAATTGGTAAAATTGTTTACTGAAATGGAATCATTTGGATTCTCTGTGAATTTTATTTGTCCTATTTTTTTGTCCTCCATAGCAACAGATAATGGGGTGGCCTGCAGAGAGGCCTTATCCCTCTCCTCCATGTGTTCCTTTCCAGAACACTTTCACGTGGTGATTCATGATATTTTCTCTTCTCATTACATGTGTACCTAGACTTTGGAAATAGGTATATTGATATTCCTGGCATGCACCGTGATGCCACAATTATCTAACGATTTTTCAGTTTTCAAAAAAACAAAGTTTTCCTTTAAATACCAATATCTTTCCTATGGCAACCAGTTTTGTTGGAAATATGATTTCCTCGTACTTACACCACAGCCACCGAGCACAATTTAAGGCCTTTCGTGGATGCCCCAGCTTCCCTGTATGTGGTGCACGTTCCTGAGATGTCTGTGCCCACGCAGGGGCGCTGTCAGTCAGCCTCCAGGTAAGCGCTCGCTGCAGTTGTAGTAAAACTCCAGCGGAGCCCTGTTTCTGTTTGCCCTGCGGCTGTTATTCTTGTATAAGTTCCCTGCCTCCTCCTCCTCCAGTCTGTCACCTGTCTCTTTGGTCCTTGTCAAAACCTGCCTCTTATCAGTTCTCTGTTTCTGGGCTGTTGTGGGCTGAGAAACTGAATAACTAAGCCCGTCAGGACTGTGGCTAAAATAAGAGCAGGTAGGGCCGCTCCAGAGTGCAAAGACTCCCAGAGGAATGGAAGTGTGTGGGCCTCGGCACAGAAACAGCCCCCGCTCAGGCCCTCTTCTTCCTCCCTTCCTAATCTTCAGCCAGCTAGTTAAATGGCTGGTTAACTGTGTTTCAAAGAAGACATTGTTACGAAAAAAAAAAAATAGCCAAAACCGGTTTGGCTCGGTGGATAGAGCGTCAGCCTGTGGACTAAAGGGTCCCAGGTTCGATTCCGGTCAAGGGCATGTACCTTGGTTGTGGGCACATCCCCAGTAGGGGGTGTGCAAGAGGCAGCTGATCAATGATTCTCTCTCATCAATGTTTCTAACTCTCTAGCCCTCTCTCTTCCTCTCTGTAAAAAAAATCAATAAAAATATATACTTTAAAAAAATATATGGTTTGGGACATGAGGCTATCTTGAATAGACTTAGTCCAGAATATTTTTTCAGTGAGATCTGCTGACTGATGGCCCATAAAGTTGGGACATAGGGCAGAATGAACTGGAGGGCATCAGAACTATGGCTTTTTATTGATTTCAGAGAGGAAGGAAGAAGGAGAGAGAAATAGAAACATCCATGATGAGAGAGAATCATGGATCAGCTGCCTCCTGCAAGTCCCCCACTGGGGATCGAACCCACAACCCGGGCATGCGTCCCTGACCGGAATGGAACCTGGGACCTTTCAGTTCTCAGGCCAAGGCTCTATCCATTGAGCCAAACCAGCTAGGGCAACTATGGCTTTTTAAAAATAGATTATAAGCTTGTTTAGTTTCAGATAGTAATTAGGTTACTTGTGCTATTAACCAATTAGACTTAGCAAGCCAAAGACCAGTTCAACAAAAGCACTGGACTATAAAAATCTTTGGGAATTAAACTCAGCAGGTGCTCTAGTTTCTGTGTTCTCATGAACGTCATGCAGGTGTCCACCTAGACAGCTCCCTACTGATAATGCCTTTTTTATTGGTTTTTTTTTTTTATAAACTCTAATCTTTGGGCCTTTTGCGGTACTGAGACACGATGGTTAGATCCCAGGATTCCGGGGGACTTTTCATGTGTTCATTTGCGTCGCTTCCTGGGGACCAGAGTTCGCCGGGGATGAGTCATGTTCCATCCGATTGATATTGGATCCGGCTGTGGGGCTGTGACTCAGACGGGCGTCAGGCCCAATTGCCCGGCTCATCTTCTGAGAAGCGGATGGCGAGGCCAGGACTAATGTCCTGACACATTTTTCCTTTTTCCTCTCGCACTCCCAGGATCCAAAGAGAGCATCGTTACCGACAGCAGGCAGGTCCGCCTGGCCGCCGGCCTCTTCCCCGTGGTCAGCCTCCTGAACCATTCCTGCAGCCCCAACACCAGCGTGTCCTTCGTGGGCGCGGCGGCCAGCGTCCGGGCCTCGCTGCGGATCGGGAAAGGGCAGGAGGTCCTCCACTGCTACGGTGAGCCAGCCCTCCTGCTCCTGTCCCCTCGGCCCGCGGAAAAGGGATGAGCCAGCCACCGGGCAGGCGCCTTCCCCTGGCCAGTGATGGTTTCCTGGGAGAAACAGTGCATCCTTTGGCAAGGCGGGGCCTTCCTCCTGGGCACCGCTGTGTCTAAACTGTCGTGTCCGCCACTGCCTCATCCCCATCAGCTCTCTGTCCGGAAAATGGGCTGGAAACAACTTTCTGGCGTTTCCCCCGTCCCCACAGGGTGGAGGCTTATTTCTATACCTAGTCCCACACACATGTTTGAGTAACATCATGGGACCTGTCACATGATGAATAATTGACCAAACCCTCTGCTAAGCCAAAGTCTTTAAAGTGGTGCCTCTCTCAAAAAATAATAATAGTAACAATAATAATAATAATAAACAGTGCCTCTCTCTCTCACTTTAAATATTGGCCCCGTGTGATCCCCCTGCAGGGCCTCACGAGAGCAGGATGGGTGTCGCTGAGAGGCAGCAGAAGCTGAGGGCGCAGTATTTCTTTGACTGCAACTGCCCGGCTTGTCAGGAGGGGACACGCAGAGCCGCGGGGCCCAGGTGGGACGCGTTCCGCTGTCCCCGCTGCGGAGAGCTCATGCAGGTGGGTCTGTCCCCCTTCTCAACTTCTCCCGAGGTCCATTATCCAGCCCCAAGGCCGGAAACCTTTCCGAGGAAGCCGGTGGGGCTTACAGGTGCCCAGAGCAGTACCCTCTTCCCTTTCAGCACATCCTCCCCACACACCGGTCACCTACCCCATACCCACTCCCAGGAACCACAGTGAAAGGTCAGGCGTAGTCATCTTACAAGGAAAAGATTTGCAAGAGCAAATAACAGAGAATCCCACCTCATCTGGCCTAAGGGGCGGGAGGGGACACTGGGAATTTATTTGCTCAAGTAAATCACTAAAAAGTCCGGGGTAGAGGCACATCAGGTACATCTTGATCCAGAGGCTTAATCATGTCACCAAGACCCACTTTTTCTCTGTGCCTCCCTCAGCTCCATTGTCTCTGTTCACCCATCCTCAGACAGACTTCCCTCTGCTGGTGGCAAGACGAACCAGATGCACTGGTCTAACAGAGGTCTGGGCAAATATCTCTTCGAGTTTCATTGACCCGATTCCTGTGGTTGGAGGAAAATCAGAGTCAAATGATTTCTCCCCAGCCCTTTGGGCCAGAGCAAGGGCCAGTCGGAGCTCCATGCACAGCCCTCAGCCACCGGGCACTGACGGTGGGAGGGTGGGAGCAGGTCCCCGGGAGAGGTCAGGTTGCTGTTGCCAAATGTGGGCATCTATACTGGCATCTAAAACAAATAGCAAGTGTTCACCTCCGAGATTTTCTCCTCCGCCAGAGAATTGGGCATTGTTAGGGGAACGGGCAGTGGAATGTAGACTTGGAAGTGGCTTGTGTTGAAAGCTGAAGTTACAAAACCCAAGGTCAAATGTCGGGAGGCCTCACCTAACACCTTTTCCTATTGGTTGTCTTACGGCCTTTTTTTTTTTTTTTTTTTTAATATATTTTATTGATTTTGTATAGAGAGGAAGAGAGAGGGATAGAGAGTTAGAAACATCGATGAGAGAGAGTCATCGATCAGCTGCCTCTTGCACACCCCCTAATGGGGATATGTCTGCAACCAAGGTACATGCCCTTGACCGGAATCGAACCCGGGACCCTTCAGTCCCCAAGCCGACGCTCTATCCATTGAGCCAAACCGGTCCTGGCATCTTACGGCCTTTTTATAACTAGATGTGTCTACCATCCAAAGTGCTGGCCCCAAAGAGACATGAGAGATGGAAAGAAATTGTGGACTGCGCCAGCTTAATTTTGGTGTAAAAATTCTATCTTGGTGGGGAGGAAGCGCATAGCAGGGATTGGTCACCACTTGCATTAGAATTGCTGCTATCCAGGAAATTCACTCAGGTTGCGGTCACGGTGTATTATTGCAGGAGTTCTCTCCCCCCATCAGTCAGATGCCATGGCGTGATCTTATAATGTAAGCACATGCAGTCTTGCTAACCAGCTCCGGTGCAGGAATAAAGACACCGCTGACTCCCACAGGGAGGTGATGTGCTGAGCTGTGGCAGCGCCTCCTGTACGGAACCGGCCAGCCGGGACCACCTAGTGTCTCGGGTCCAGGACCTTCAGCAGCAGGTCGGGAAAGCCCAGAAGCTTCTCCGGAATGGCAAACGAGGTGAGGCGGGGTCCCTTCCTTTTTCTTCATTCCGAGATGACTCAAGGATACTCAGTAATGACTGAAAAATTGCACTTAATTATCCCCATCCCAACCACAAGGTGGCTGTGTAGGCCAAGGAGACCAACACCTAACCTCTTCCATTTGTGTGGTCCTGGAAAAAGGGCCAGAGGACGTAAGCTGCATTTCTCTTACGCGTCAGAAGGCTAAGTTCAGGTATCCATGACAACTGAAGGGCTAGCCCTGACACCCATGATCTTTACGCGTATTCCAGAGATTCGTATCATTTTAATTCCAGGCCCTAATGACCTAGTTTCCTGGTTAAATTGTCCTGCCCTCACCAGAGCCTCATCTCTGTTCTAAGGCCAGTGGGGCCCGTGCCTGGTGGGTATAAGTGTCCTGCTTTTTCCAGAGAGGGAGTTGTGGAACTCCTCATTACCCTCGAAAACTCTGCCTTAGAGCTCCACGTCCTGAGAATTTATTAATATTTACCCTAGTTTATGAAAGTTGACCTTCAGCTTAGATTTCTGAGTCAAGAGAAGCAATGACCATAAGTGGAATGTGTTATTCCACTTCAAACTGAAGTTGGAAACCCAGAGTAAATGTGGGGAGGCCTCACCCCAAACCTTTTTCTGCTGAAAGAGAAAACATAAGGGAACAACAACTTGCCCGGCTGCTTGAGCATTGACCTATGAACCAGGAGGTCACAGTTCGATTCTCGGCTCCCTGTCAGGGCACATGCCAGGGCTGTGGGCTCAATCCCCAGTGTGGGGCCTGCGGGAGGCAGCCGATCAATGATTCTCTCTTATCATTGATGTTTGCATCTCTCCTCTCTTCCTCTCTGAATCAATAAAAATGTATTTTTTTAAAAAGAGAGAACAGCAGCTTTATTGGAACAAACATGGTGGTTCGGTCACAGAGAGACAAGGTAGGGTTTCCACATTTAGCCCAGCTGATAGAACATGTAAGAGCTGGGTTTGCCTGTCAAGGGCTGGGTTGGTGTCTGTAATGAGGTCCCTTTCCTTTGAGTTGACAGAGCGAGCCATTCAGCTGCTGTTGGGGTGCCAGCATGATGCTGAGAGCTTCCTGTCCGCAGAACACAGCCTGGTGGGAGAAATCCAGGATGTGCTGGCCCAGGCCTATGCTGCGTTAGGTACGGCATGTGTCTCTATTCTCTGCTCCAGGGAACACGTCGGCCTGGTTCGTTTGGCCGTGACCCTAGAGCCTCATCCTGTTTGTTATCTCTTGGTCTTTCAACTGAGGCTGCTCTCCCTTCCAGTTAACTTTCCTGACCCCAAAAATGTCCGTCCACGGTTGATTGTAGTTCTCTTCTGGATCCAGATTTGTATTTCTTTGCAGAGGACTGGCAGAAGTCCGCCACCCACCTTCAGAGGAGCCTCCGAGTGGTTGAGGCTCGCCACGGGCCATCCAGTGTCGAAATGGGCCATGAGCTCTTCAAACTGGCCCAGATCTTTTTCAATGGGTAAGTCTTTCTCTCACTTCCCAGCACTTGGCCGGCCCTCATACTGTTCCAGCTCTCATTGGGCTCTCCCAGGTACCACTTGTTTTCTGTGGTGCTTTTCAGCATGTTGCAACTTCTTTATTTCCCCATTAGGAGAGATCCTGTCCTTCTGTTTTGCTGATTAAGTTCATAATTTTCTCCTGAGAATCTGGGGGTAGCTCTTAGCTCTGAGGGAGTTTCCAAGGAGAACTGCCATGCAGTCCCCCACCCACGACAGACATAGCTGTTCTTCTCAGGCCTCCCCCGGGCTCATTCTCCACACCCTCACTCCAGGGGCTCTTCCCTGGTCCTATTCTTTGTAAACCAGCTGTTTCCAAGCAGGAGTAATTTCCCAGCAGGCATTTGGCAGTGTCTGGAGACAGTTTGCATTGTTGTGACTCAGAGTTGCTGCTAAACATCCTGTGTATGCACAGGACAGTCCCTATAGCCAAGAATTACCCAACTTGCCGAAACTGGTTTGGTTCAGTGGATAGAGCGTTGGCCTGCAGACTGAAAGGTCCCAGGTTCGATTCCAGTTGGGGACATGTACCTTGGTTGCGGGCACATCTTCGGTTGGGGGTGTGCAAGAGGCACTGATTGATGTTTCTCTCTCATCGATGTTTCTGACTCTCTATTCCTCTCCTCTCTGTAAAAAAAAAATCAATAAAATATATTAAAAAAAAAAAAAAAAGAATTACCCAACTTATGAGTGGTGGGTAGGCCTGATTCCCGAGGCAAAGGCAGTCCATGTGGCCAGAGAGAAAGGGGCTGCAGACTTATGTCATGGCTGGACTTGATTATTCTGAGTAAGCCGTGGGGTAAATATCAGATTAATGCTTTGAAATTTGCCTATTTCTCAGGATCCTAGGTTCTTTATACTTTATTATTATTACTTTGTTCTCCAACTCTGCCCTGCAGTGTGTTTGTGAGAGTTGTCCTATCTGCCTTTCTAGGTCGTAAGATTTGTGAGGGCAAAATGATCTTAATGTGCCTCACAGGCTGTGAGCCTCTCTGCTTGATTGAATGAGTGGATTCACTCCCCTCACCCCCTTTGGTCCAGGTTCGCCGTACCCGAAGCTCTGAACACGATACAAAAGGCAGAAAAGGTTCTCCTGGTGCACTATGGCCCGTGGAATGACGAGATCCAGGAGCTACAAGAGATGAAGTCCTGTTTATTGGACTTGCCGCCCGCACCTGGGGGGCCTTCCGTGTAGGGTCCCAAGGGGACCTTGACCCACAGGAAAGGAGCCGTGGGTGAGCCAAAGAGGTCGGTCCTGTTGCCACTGAGCTGGCGCCAGGGAACGCAGGACCGGCCTGACTGCCGCCAGCCTCGGGCGGGAGGCCTGGGGTGGACTTGGAAAGCATTGCAGTGGGAGGGATGCTCACCGATTGTGATGAATGCTTCTTGAAATTGTTAACTGCCCTTCAGTAGAAACTCCCAGTTCCCATAAAAGACTTAAAACCAGTATCTGGAGAGCCTAAGCCCTTTATAAGGATTTTAGCTGATCCGCAGGCATCTGGATGTCGGCCTGGGGTTTTGGCTGGGCGCCACGTCCCTAAATGATAGTAGTCTGTTTCCCTGAGACATTCCTATGGTTTCTAGTCGTCATGAATGATGTATACCGCCCCGGTGGGAACTTACACTCTCAGTCGTTGTATTATAATTGAAAAATAATTATAAAGCAAGAAATCAGGGAGGCTCCTTATCTCTAGAGACAGTCTCGTGTATGGTGTCTGGCTTCCTCAAATCCTTTGTCAAAACGGGTGGAGTATAAATTATGAAAAGAGAAAGAAATATGGGGCTGTTTTGTGGTCGGGAAATCTCTCCCCAGGATGGCAATTCTAAATTTGTTTCCTACCCGTTTTCTAGGCCTTATTGCCTGGCTGTCATTCTATACTCTTGGCAGACTCGCTGTTTAAATACTAATAAAATCAGGCTTGTAGCAATGACTTTGTATCATGTGTGCCTCCTGAGTTCTGTTGATTAGCAAGCCTGAAAAGAGATGACTTTTTATTTTCTACCAGACTTCCCCAAGCTGGCAAATGAAATGCAGACTACATGAGTACAGAGAAGGGGGAAAACTTCAGAAGATACTGAGGATATGGTCTCAAACTTAAGAGACAACAGTAGGGCCCTAGCTGGTGTGGCTCAGTTGCTTGGGTGTGTCTCATGCACCAAAAAGGTCTCTGGTTTGATTCCCAGTCAGGGCACATGCCTCAGCTGCAGGCTAGATCCCCAGTAGGGGGAGTGCAGGAGGCAGTGTTTAGCTCTCTCCTATCAGTGTTTAGCTCTCTCCTATCAGTGTTTCTCTTTCTCTTCCTTTCCCTTCCTGTCAATAATTAATTAAAAATCTTAAATAAATTTTTTAAAAGACAGAGGTAGGGGTGATAACTCTCTTCTGCCTGGATGTGTAACAATGGTCTCAACCTGGCCCGGTAAGAAGGCTGGAGTCGCCCTGGGTCTGAACCCCAGAGGCTGAATCACCGCTGGTGACCAAGTGGGGCAGATGAGTTAGAGGGAAGGAATGCCAGGCCCACACTGCTCTGAGAGCTTGCTCACCCTGGCCATGCCCCAGAAGTGCCCTGGGGCTGCCACAGCCTAATCACCAGGAAATGAATAGCCCTCGAGATGCTTGGCGGAAGCTCCTCAGGAAGCAGAGTGTTTGGAACACGGTTCGGTTCGTACTGGAACATTTGAATGAAGAGCAGGCAGAATCTGTTTCTTTTCTCTTCTACTACCTCCCTCTGGCAAGGCAGTGACCAGTGAGATTTGTGTACAGCTAACTTTTTCAAGAAGAAAAACTTAGTTCTGTGGACAGTGGTTCAAACATTTGGCATGCTTTATGTTCCTGAAAAAGTTCCTGTTGTACTTTGTAAAATAGGCATATTTCCTTAAAAAGAATGTTTAGCCGAAACCGGTTTGGCTCAGTGGATAGAGCATCAGCTTGTGGACTGAAAGGTCCCAGGTTCGATTCCAGTCAAGGGCATGTACCTTGGTTGCGGGCACATCCCCAGTAGGGGGTGTGCAAGAAGAGGTAGCTGATTGATGATTCTCTCTCATCGATGTTTCTAACTCTCTATCCCTCTCTCTTCTTCTCTGTGAAAAATCAATAAAAAATATATATTAAATAAATAAATAAATAAAAACTGAAAGTCAGGTTTATTTAAGATTGTGGAGCCAGGAAATGCCCTCCAGGGGGCATTCGTGATCCTAGTAGGCAAACATCCCAGAGGAGAGAATCAGTCCCTGCCTTATACAGCGCAGATAACTACAAGTCCTTATAAATGGCAACTTTCTGCAGAGCTTAGATAGACCCAGGCTAGAAGTGCAGGACCAATAAATTCCTAAAGGGCTATTTATCTTCATATAAAGCAATACAGCTCACAAAAGGAAGAGGAAAGGGTAACAGAAGTTAAGGATAAAGCACTTTTATTGCAAAGTATACATTGAAACTTAGGGGCAGCCTTCATACCATGCATAACCTGCCATCCCTCTAGGGTTGCTGTTTTTCCTTTGGGGTATTGGAGCATTAAACCGAAGCACTAAGTGCCCCTGGGGTCCAGAATTTTGCCTATGAAGAGGAGGGCCCCCGTGTCCGTGTCCCTCAGCACGAAGATGAACGGCCGGTTGAGGTGATAGTCCAGGGGGAAGGTGAGGCGCGCGGGCTGGAGCTCCGGGCCGGGGGTGCTGCCTGCCCCGTCCTCATTCCACTCGAAGCCGGCCCGGTGTTCCACTTGAGTGAGTTTGATAGATTTGCCCGTGATCTTGCTGAAGTCTGGCGAATCGAATAGGGATTGCAGCTCTGCAGAGATGGGGGAGAGATTTCCATTACAACCCTGTCTCAGCCAACACCCCAAGGAAGAATACAGCCCTAATTCCTAAATCCTGACTCAAAGAGGGAAGCGAGCTGGGAGTGGAACCGCTCTTTGACCTTTTGTGAGATAGATAGGGCTCCGGTGAAAGGCTGAGTGATTTGCCCAAAAGCACACAGCAATTGAGGTTAAGCTTAGAAACCACATCTTACAGATCTGTCTTAAGAGGCAGGGTTCTGAGTGCCTGTTACAGGGTGTATGGTCATGGCACTAAGGAATGAGTCTGATAAGGACGGCAGTTCAGTCTTCTCCGGCACCAGGCATGAGGATTAAGGAATCATCCCAGGGTCTCCCGACAAAGGCGAGTTCTGTTTAGCGAGGCAGAAGGCTCACAGGCTCAACCCCCACCCCCACCCCCAAGGCAAAGGAGCCTTGCAGACATACTCATGTCCTGTAGTGACTTAGTGACTTCGCCTTCGTAACTCAGCTTCAGCTTGGGGACGGCCAGGACTGCTTGAACGGTCTTCAGTTCTCGGTCTATGTCATGAACGAACTCAGAGGTGAGGCTCTCTTCTATCATGGTCAAGTTCTGGGTCGCTCTCAGGGGCAGGAAGAAGATGATACTCATGCTTCCAGTCAAGGGCAACTGGGCAATCTGAAACAACAGGAAAGAGACCGCATGAGTTAGTCCTTTGGAGCTTAGGAACTTAGGGATACACAGACACACACACACACACACACACACACACGGTGGGGCTCTGGCCCTGCTTTCCCCAGCCCCTAATCTATTTCACAATTGTCCCACTAGGCTATTGCATTCATGCAGCAAGATGTTTACTAATGTTTCTTCAAAAAGTTGATGTCTTTTTTAAAAAATATACTTTTTTATTGTTTTTTTTTTACAGAGAGGAAGAGAAAAGGATAGAGAATTAGAAACATCAATGAGAGAGAATCATCGATCAACTGCCTCCTGCACACCCCCCACTGGGGATGTGCCCGCAACTAATGTACATGCCCTTGACCAGAATCGAACCTGGGACCTTTCAGTCCGCAGACTGACGCTCTACCACTGAGCCAAACCGGTTTTGGCAAGTTGACGTCTTTTCTTACCTTGGCCCAATACCAACTGATTATCTGCGGAAAAGCTTTCTCGTGTGGTTCTAAGGAGCTGGCATTGAATTCTAGGTCTCTGTCTTCTCCCAAGGTTTACCTGCCAACAGTTGCTAACCATCTGTTACCCAGAGAGCCCTGGACCAGAAACGGGGCTGTTGGGTACAGCAACACAGAAACCACAATAACGTGAGTCCTTTGACCGAGGGTTTTTACCCCAAGATCCACGCAACAGATCGCATCCTGGGCCCCAGTAGCCCCTGAAATTATATATAGAAATGTGTGCGCGCAATTTCATGGCATTTCTGTCAAGTATTTCAGGTGCGTTGTCAGATTCCCAAAGAAAAAGGTTAAGAACTACTGCCTTAGAATTAAAAGTAGTCAGGTACATGTGAAAGACTTAGAAGGTCATCAATTTGGAGTTTGTGACAGTTTTTGGAAAGTTTGGCTTTGAATTCCAGAAATAAAAGTACCCCTTTCCCCCCCCCACACACACACACACACATACACAGAAAGAAGGAAAGAAAAGGTTTTTTTAAAAACCAGCATTGGAGTAAAACCCCTTACATGGGCTGATCCCCCACCTAATGTAGTCACCAATAGTATCAAACATCTTGGTCATCCAGGAGGACTACGGGAGGGGCAAGAAAGTGTAATTACACAGGGGTCTCCACCCAGCTTCCCTTTTGTATGACACAAAATTAAAACACTGCCCCTTGTGTGTAAAATTAAAGAGGTAAAAAACAACAACAACAACATTGGAGGGCCCTAATTTCACAATAAGGTAATGTCACATTACCTCCTTAATTATTACAAGTAACCCTGAGAAGGTAAGTTTCTACCCACTTTTATTTTAAGAAAAAAAAAAAAAAAGGTGCAGAGAAGCTATTAATTTGCAGAAAGTCACGCAGCAGTTAAAATTCAGATCACTGTCAGATCTCAAAAGTCCTTCTATGTCCACTCCCGCACCCCTACAAACCTTGCAGTTCAGGTCAGAATCCAAGCCGTAGCGTAAGACAGCCTTCGGGTCTGACATCATGGGCACTCTCACCGTCCTCTCCTCGTCCAAGTGGAAATCCTGGAGCGAAGTCTTTTTGGGATCAAACTTTGTTACCCACTGCCCTGGAATGAAACAAATGGAGTGCCCTAAGTCCAGGAGACCAGAAAGGCTGGGACCGTGCTGAGGCCAAAGCATAGCTAAAGTCAGCTGTCCAAGGCCTCGACCCATCAGGGGACACGTAAACTCAGAAGAAAATACGTCCATTTTATTCATCTGACGGTCTGGATCGTACACATTCCCCGGTCACCGGGGAGAACAGTAAACTGGCATATGCTTCTACAGCGATGTGTCTGGGAGACGGAATCAAAGCAGGTCAGAGCTGGGCGGGCCTGGGCATCCTCTCATCGCCCCTCTCGCAGCTGGAAAAGCACTGCAGGCCAGAGAGGCAGCGTGACTTGCCAAGGTCACACAGCACGTCGACGATCAGCCCCTTAGTTCAATGTTGCCTTTTATCAGGCTGGTCTGGAACTGCTGCTTTCACTTCCTGGGGACCAAGGCTGCAGGCTGAGTGTTTCTCTTGGAGTTTAGGGGTTCATTCTTGCTACTGCTTGATAGGTGGTTATAAAGCATTTTTTTAATAAAGCATTTTAAGGGGAGGTTGTCCGGAACCCCACTCGAGGCTTCTCTGCATGGGGCTGGCCTCACAGGGGCCTGGGGAAGTTTGGGCTTACCACCACAGCCTGGAAGAATGCCTTTAGAGAGCCAGCAGTGGCTTATTGGGTCCCTGCTCCCGGGCACGGCGCTGGGGCTGATGGGAGGGTAGGAGGGGACCTAGCGTGCCTTTGAAGTACGTGCATCGTCCCCATGTGAGTGATGAGAGAACATGGAGGCGACGGAGGGTGTGCAAGGCTCTGCAGCCGGGAAGTCAGAGCCGGGCTCTGACGTCCATCTGACTCCAGCCAGAACCCGAGCAAAGCCCACCCCCACGGGCGCAAGCGTGGCTGCGTGTTCTCTCCTCCACTGTCTCCTCACGACCTTCCATGCTGCGTAGGCCCGGGATCTGCCCACACCAGCTAACACGCAGCCAGGTGCGTTCCTCAGGCCCTCCTCTGGCTTCGCCTCCGCCTCCAGGGTGTTGTTGTTGAACTTGGTCTTTGACTTTCCCCCCCTTCCTGGTCCTGCCTGGCCCCCACCATCCACCCTCAGCCTACAGAGAAGTGGAGAAGGCCTCACCCTTGAAGTAAGCCACCCCCAGGAGGAGGATGCTGATTTCGCTGGGCAAGTCCCTGGTGGACCTCGCCACCTTCCCTTTGGTCTGGGCCTGCACCCAGTTGTTCATCTCCTGCAGGTCCGTGCGGGCGTTGCCGGTCAGGACCCTGGGCCTGGACCCATAGGACTTCTCCAGGGGCGCGACAAAGCTGGTCTTTATCCGCAGCTCTGGGGAGAGAAGGCGCGGGGTGAGGGTGGTCGGAGAGCAAAGCCAGCATCCCCCTCCTTGGCAGCACGCCGGGCTGAGGTTCTGGTTTCCGCTCGGGCCCCGACTTCCCACCTGCTGTCTTCCCATGACCAGCTGGGACGCGGTGCCCACTTCCCCAGGCGGCACTGGGCAGGGAACCACACATTCTGCTCCGTGCTGTTTCTCTTCGTGTTACTGCCCTCCCCTGACCCTCTTCCCCTGTCTCCCTCGGGCCACTTCCTCTTTCGGATCCCCTTTGCGTTCCCAGGGCCCCTTCCTGCCTACCAGGCTAGCCCTGGCCGGGACACACAGGATCGGCTGGTTGGAGAGAAACTCCCCACGCGCCTCGGCAGCCCGGGCGGGCGGGCACACTCACTCCTCTCGAAGGCGATCCGGGAGGCGGTCTTGAGGTTTTTCTGGGGGGCGGTGACTGCGGCCAGGAGCTCCCTGTAGGTGCCGTGGATGTCAGGGTTGGTGATCAGGTCGTAGTAGAGAGCCCGGTGGATGGTGGACTCTGTCCGCTGCTCAGCGCCTGCCAGAGAGACAGGACGTGGGCTCCATGACCGTGCACCAGCCAGCTCGGGCCGGCTCCCAGGTCAGGACAGGACCACCGGCCCTTAGTCTTTTGTCTCCTGACACTGGAGACCCTCTGAGGGAGGAAGGACTCTGAAGGCAACAGAAGAAACAGCTTTTCCTAAAGCAGACGAGGGGCATCGGCCCAGAGAGAGAGAAGGGCGGGCCTGAGGGGTACAGGTCCCCGTGCTGCTCCCATCACAGCGCTCACCACACTGTTCTGTAGTCACCTGTTTGTTATGGACTTATTTTTATTGGCTTTATTTTATTTTATTTATTTTTTTATAGAGAGAGAGAGGAAGGGCGGGAGAGACAGACACACA